TGCACAAGCTATGACAATTTTCACTTGTGTGTCAATATCATAATGGTTCATGCGTTGTTTCAGTATTTTGCTATTTTTCCAAGCTTCAAAAATCTGTGGGGTTGTTTTAACAAAATATAAACTCGTGGATCAATTTTTGTATTAAAATATCTCAAATCATGATATTGAATTACCATATAATTCCATATCATGGTTTTTGGAGAATATGGAATCACATCTCATGATATGGAATCAGCGTAAAATTGCATGTCCAAACGCTGATTCTATCTCATGATACCATATCGTGATATGGTATAGCATGGCCAAACGCCTACTAAAACATCCAACAAAAAAATAATAATGAAATCGCGTAAAACGAATATTGCAAATTAATAAGTCATAATGAAATTGATCATAATTTAAAAGTACTAAATCATGCTAAAATAAGTTTAATAAGTATTAGTTACATGACTAAATATTAAAGGAAAGTAAAATTAGATTATGTATTTTAATTGTCTAAACCTATGTAAAACTAAAGAACAAATATTCAATATTATTGTCATTCTTAGTGTTGAATTAATTTTCGTTTTGCATTAGTATTAATTTTATTTTGATTTAGGCTTTATTATAATTACCAACATCTATGGACTATAATCTTTATTGGATTATTAAGAATTCTAACTTTCAAACATGAAATAAATATATCAAAAGATAAAAACTATGAAAAAAGTATAAGAAATATTTAAAAATTATATCAAAGTAAATATTTTTATGTATAAAATAAAATTTTAAAATTATATATATAATGTCGGGTTGGTTTTTTTAGTTGAAATCAAACCAACCCAAATATAGTCGGTTTTTTTTTCCAATACCAAACCAAGTCAAACCAAACCACTAGTCGGGTTTTTTTCAGTTTGACTCGATTTGTGGTTTGATTCGGTTTTCGGTTCGATTTTGTACACCCCTATAAATGAGCATGGGAATCGCTACGTTTGGTTTGTTGTTAATGGGCTGCGTTGACTGGATCAGCCCAAACATGAGTAGTCTTATCTTTCCAAAATGGGAAGCCCATATAAATTGCATGCAGGCCTGAGGCCTAGCCCAATTCAAGTCTCGTAACCCAAATTCAAAATCCCAAAATAACAATTTCAAAACTCAAAATTTTCAAGTTTCATTTTTTAAAATATATACTCAAACAGAAGCTTTGTTTATCAATTTGTATAACAATATTTGGTTAAACCTAAATTTTAAGCTAAGAAATCTCCTTATAAGTTGGCTTGGTAATAACCACCTCCTTTGTACTTCGTAATATTACTCTTACTTTTCCAATTCTGTTATTTTTTATATATAGTAATTATTTTAATTCATTCATCATGTGTTTACGGTTGATCAGTTAGCTTTTTGATATTGCATTTTTCTATTAGTTAATTTTATGAGTATCATTTCAAAGAAACTATATAGAGAAATATAAACCACATTTTATATTTTATATATAGTTATATAAAGCATATAAAACACTAACCACAAAATATATTTTTTCAAAAAATATGTTCAACTCTCTATAGGTCATTTGATAGAATGTATTAGCAAAAATAATGCACGTATTAACTCTATTGTGTATTAAAGTGTTTATTACTAATACCATGAATTACTAGGTATATTAGTAAGGCAAGAAGTTTTAATGCATGCATCAGCATGGTTAAAAACCCCATTGCCCCTCAAAATCTTTTTTACATCTTTTCCATCATAGTTGTAAAGGGTATCTTGGTAAATAAATATTTTATGCAATACATATTTTTTTGGCTTAAGTCATCAACATCCACTTAAACTTGTTCGTATATTTCACTTAGACAGCTCAACTTAATCTTATACCTATTGAACACTTGTACCAGCTTGAATTTAAACCATTTGGACACTTTTTTGACAATCAACTAAAAGTATAAGATGTGTGTAATGCACTTGCGCTGATGTGGCAAATTGACAAATGACTAACGTACATGTGGCCATTTGAGCCAAAATATTTCTTAAAAAATTATAAAGAAAAGAAGAGAAAAAAGAAAAGAAAAAAAGTTGTTGTCTGCTCTACCATGGACCTTCAAGGCTTCAACCTCCTTTGAGCCACCATTGCCACCATCCGTTTCCTTTTTCAGATTTGATTTTAAAGAGAGAAAAAAAATTGAAATAGCAAACTACATATCCTTCTGCGATTTCTTCAATTTTATCCTTTTTTTATTGTCTCAATTTCTAAGAAAGTTGAAAAAGATTCTACCATTAATGGTGAAATTGAGTTGTTTTAGTGTAGGAAATTTTCAACTTTAAGGACTTCTAAAATTGTTTGTTTGAAATCAACACTTCTTCAATTTCTTCATTTTCATCCCTTTGCTCATCTTTGTTGCTGAAGAAATTGTTAATGACCGACTTGAGCTGTTTCAGAAAAAAATACATATTTATGAAAAAAAGATTTTGAAATTGTGTTGTTTGTAGCTAAACCTATATCCATTTTCTTCTATCTTCCTCGTTGGTGTATTTGGTGCGGAAGGAAATTGATCAATTTCAGGTTGAAATACGATAGTGGTGAAGGTCAAAGTGGGATGGCTGACGATAATAGAGAAAGGAGAAGGGCGGATGGTGGCGGCGTAGCGGTGGAACCGGTGGAAATGGTGGTGGAAGAAATTAGGTTTAATTAAGGAAGAAGGAAGAAAAAGAGATTTTAAAAAACAACAAAAAATAGTCTCTCACGCGCTCAATATCTGTGTAATGCACTTTCCATGCCACATCAGCGAAAAGTGTTTAATAGGTATTTGTTTTGAATAATAGAAGTGTTCAATAGGTACATTCTCTAGTAGAGGTGTTTAAATGAAATACGCGGACTACTTTAAGTGGTTGTACATGACTTAAGCCTATTTTTTTAATACATCAAATCAAAAAATACATAAAAAATAATTTATATATAATTAATATAAACACTTACCTATACAAATTTATTAATATACTTTATTTAACATTATTCTCGCGGGCTCAGAGAGGATCCTAATCCTAAATGGTAACAATAATAATGCAAATTGCCTGAACTGCACCCCTAAATAGTTTGAGACAATTTTGTATAACTTAGGGTGTGTTTGGTACGAAGAAAACATTTTCCAATCTTCTCATGTTTGGTTGGGTTAAATGTTTTTCAAATCAACTTATTTTCCTCAAATTTAAGGAAAATGACTTCCCTTCAAAACTTAAGGAAAACATTTTCCAAAACTCTCTTCCAACTTCCAATTAAAAAAAAAATTGTTGAAAAAATCAATTTATTTGGTCCCTACCCTCAAACCAGCACCCCCCCAAAAAAATATAAAAAAATTTAAAGTTTGTTTTTAAATTCAATATTTTTACCCCACCCTCACCCCTACCACCACCACCCCCCAAAAACAATTATTAAAAGTTATTTTTAAAAGATTTCTAATTTAATTTTTTAATTTTTTTACACCCCCTACCAGCCTCCCCAACCCCCAAAAAAAATTTAAGTTTGTTTTTAAAAAAATATTTT